CTAATATATTCACTTGTAGGCACGGGAGAAGCTTCGCATTCATTTTGATTTATAAACGATTCTAAAGAAAAAAGGTCAAAAAGAAAGAAATAAAAAAAGTCATATTATGTATTATCTTAAACATTTTACATTGCATTTAGTGTAAGTAAGTGGCAAACAATATCATTTTGAATTTGGTAAAAAATGGTATGTCCAACTTTGACTTTTTAAACAATTTAATTCTTGTAAAAGTGACATACCATTGCACTAAATATTTTTTAAAATCAAGTTTTTCTTTACTTGTTTATGTGTTAAAATAATGCTATGATTTTGGTTTTAAACTATGTATACTTCATTAAATGTTGTTATTCAAGTATTTATGAAAGTTAACAAGAAGATGAAACTACATCAGTAAGTTAAGTACCCAGCCCGCCTAAGTACCTCAAAAAGCTGACATTTTTCGTGAGGTACCCAACAGAATTCTACATATTAAGTGCTAATGCGTTGGGTAACCGCTTACACGCAAAGCCCGTTTAACAGATTCTTATGTGACAACTCTCATGCAAAGCTAAGTATGCATAACTGGGCTATAAGTCAAATTCAATGGCATTTGCGGTCAAATGAGTGAAAACAAATTGTCAAATGGGACTAAAAAATCGTAGTTTGTTTGATTTAGATCAGAATAGGCCTTCAGGCGTGTACATGCGCTGCTAAAGCGGCTATTTGTAAGTTTTTGGCCCATAATATCATCGATAAAGGTAGGGCTAAAGAAAGAAAGTTGTGTCAAAATATGTCGATAAATTTTGTTGTTATTCGCCCATACAGTCCAGTGTCTAGGCTGTCTTCAAATTTCATATTTTCTTTAGATGAGAACTATAGCTACTAGACCCATATTAGCTTTTTGATTTCTGCAAATATATTTAAAATGCTGTCGAAGTTACTTACGGCAAATTGATTATTTTCTCTAGACTTGCCGCATATTTTACAGTAGTCAAAATTATGCTAAGGTAAAAAAAAAACCTAATCATGTTTAAATTATATCGACCTTTTGTATACATGTTTTAAGTAAAATTTATAAAAAAAAAACTACAAATGAATGATGTAACTTTTTTTAGGTACAATCTGTGTCATTTAGGTACATTTATTTTATGATATTAGGTACAAACTGAAACTTCCATTTTTCATCCCTGCTGCTCAGCTTCCGCTCTTCGTATACGTGTGAAACGCACATGTGCTCAGAGAGCGCTCAGTGAGCTATGGCATGTCGACCACTGCTCTATATACATAGCGGTCTTAAGGTTAAATTAGTTAGTCTGTTCCAATAGCAGTCAAGTTTACAGGATTTAGTCAGAACTTACAGGAAGTCGTTCCTATTGACATAAAACCTGTAAGTGGGAACACTTTTGAGAGAGTAACTGAGCAACTGTTCCTAGTCAGAAGTTACAGGACTTAGTCCGGAGTTCTTTTTCCTGTAAGTTCATGAAAAGTGTCAAACGATCAGCTGATTTGCATACGTAAACAAAAACATAAAGCGGTGTAAGCAAAGAATCTTATTTTTGTACAAAAATGCAAGTAAACAACGAAATATTTGAATATGTATAGATTTTAATAATTAGTTAGTGATATTTCAGCCAAATAAGTGGTGTACAAATGACATGTAAACAAACCGACTGACGTTTTAAGGAAATAGTGCTTTTTGNAAAACTTGTATCAACCAAAGCATTGTTTATATTTGCTCAACAATGATTTTATTCAACTAACAATATTGTCCAATCAAGGTAGTCGTTTTGTAATTATTAACAAATATACATTTGTCCCAACTAGAAGTCTTAAGTAAATTGCAGACTTTCGTGAACTATATATTTATTTCGCCATATCCAACTATGCCACTTGATCACTATAACCAAATCTTGGTTATTATAACTAAACCTTTTTCTGGGTGTACCATAACGCCATAGCCATAACCATTGCCATAACCGTAACCACATTAACTATCATCGATTATAGGTATCATAACCATAAGTAGCTGATCTTTCGTACTCAACAATGTCGGTGTTGCCAGACGCGAAACAAAACGCGGAGAATGTGTAATATCGCAGGATACTTGCACAGAACTTCTTTCACTATCACCAAATTAACACTAAATTCTTAAAACTCACCAGCAGAAAATAATAAAATATGTCTATCAAATTAAAGGTAATAACTTGTACTTTTTTAATAATATAATCTTCTTTTGCATTAATAATGAAATTTTGTTAAAAAAGGTTATTTTATGAAAAACTACGAAATTTATTTTTGTTTTTAGCATATATGTAATACTTCTATATTGGCAGTAAGCTAACTTCTCAATGTGTAAGCATTCCGAAATCAAAGCGAGACAGTCTGATATATCTGTACTGTAGTGTTTTCGGACGGTACTAGCTCCTACTGCCAACATAGGAGTATTACATATATGGCTTTTAGTATTTTTGGATTAAAACTATAAAAAAAAGATTATAAATTATTAACATCAGCTGAAAGATAAATTAATTGTCTTTATTTTGACACCTTTTCTTTATCGGTTATGTAGTTCATAAGATGTTAATATTTAAAGAAATCAAAAAAAATTAATTTAGTCTTCTATATCTTTTTTATATTTTTGAGCCAAATAATTTTGGTACAGTTGAAATCAGCGTGAGAAATTATATCGAGCCACATTTTAAGTTTTTGGATAGCTAAATGGTTCATATTAGCTACACTTATGCCAAAAACGTTGTCTGTGAACAATATTTTTTTTTTAACGTCTGGCAACACGCACTTCTCAGATATCAGCTGATATGGTTATGGCGTAAAACTCAATTCAATTGGTCTCTATGGCTATGGTTATGGCTATGGCGTTATGGTGTGGCACCACTTTTCGAATAGAGTGTTGGCCATAAGGCTGGTTGAAACTAGAGGGCTGCGTGAATTCATTCAAACTTCTAGACAAACAGAGTACAGTAGATTTGAATATTTTACTTCACATACAAAACACTCAGCGTTTGGAATTTTGTAAGTTATGAATATACATGTTGGCTGCATTTCTTTATTCATTCTGAACGTTTGGAATAAACTTTTTTGTTTATTTATTCTTTAGAACGTTCCTGATGATATTTTGACGTATATTTCAAACGCATTCTGTTTATTCCGGCTGTGAAATTGGATTATCCGGAATGTATAAAGAAACGCAGCCTTTGTTTTATATTTTCTACCTTCAAATGGAAGAATGTGAATGAATGAATGGAAAACATTCAAATCATTCAAACTCAGTTCGGTAAAAGTTTTTTTCTACAAACAAGTTTTTTCGTATGTAATAGGAGCGCAGCAATACATACATACATACATTGTATGTTTGTACATATGTGCATAGAAAAAATATTTTTGGATATTCATACACAAAATTGTCATTTATTTCAATTCAATTTATTTTCACTTTGTTTGAATATTGTGATGTCGACACAAATATCAGAACAGCTATTCACTCAAATTCAAAAAAATTTGAAACCAAAATCAGTCATTCGTTTTGTATATGAATAATTCAAAAGCCGTTTTGAATGCATTCATGCAGCCCTCTAGTTGAAACAGCTGTTTTATATGGTTATGGTTATGTCATCACTAATTTAAGCTTAAGTAATAAACTTTCAGTTTGCTTATAGGCTGTTAGAAAACTGCACCTCTTAGACTAAATCAATTGAACTGGTAACTTTGCCCGGCGAAAATTTACCCAAAATGGGTGGGGCCAGCGTTACCGTTTTACTTAAATTTAAGCAAAATTGATTAAATTTTTCCTGCCTGTTAAAATGTTAAACTTTTCTTCGTTTTGCTAAATTTGTTTATTAAAATAGTCAAAAAGGATAATTTTCCTCAAAAATTCATAGTCGGAAGAGTTACTATTTGAATCAATTTTTCAAATTTATTTTGGGAAGACTGAAATCCAGATCCCATATAAAGTTCCAGTAAATGTTGCTCTACGCAATTCCCGATCTGCGGTCGTCGCATTTTCTAACCTCCGAGTGTACTTCTATCATGAAATCGCTCCTCATAAAAACCATTTTCCGTTCGGTGGCGACTTAGAACTTTAGGTCCCTTCATTTGCGTGACAAGATCACGCACATTATGATTAACATGATATCAAACTGGTTTTTTGCATGCATTCCAAAAACTAGAGAAACGGCAGTTAACTTTAGCAGTATATGTTGAAAGCCTGAAAGAATGTGTAATACATACATAGTTTTCAAATTAAGCAACTCTTAGACTATTAAATCCTTATTTTTGACGACAAATCTCGGCCTTAGAGAGCCTTTACTTACTTACCTGCTTACTTTTTATTTTTATAACCAATTTATCAAGCTCAGGAAGAACAAACAGTAACTCCAAGCATTTTCGTTTTATTAAGATCCGTTAAATAAATTGCTTAATTTTAACGGGATTTGTTAAACTTTTTGAAAGATTTTTTTTTAATTTTATTTTCGGGTGTGGCAACACTGGTGGGGTCCCTCTTCTCCGGCAACTCCGAAAGTATAATTCCGCTGATTAAGGCTTAGGTTAGGTTAAGTCATTAAGTTTCGCGAGTATTATTCAATTAAAGTAAACTATAATGAACGACTAGATACCAATGTACGTTCATTTAGTGCCTTCTTTTTTGTTGTTTGTATTGTTTATCCGACAGGGTAGGAGTATGATGTATACTTAATTTAGTGCATTTATTAATGTTAATTTAATACTAACAAACCTGAACGAAACGGTTTTTTGCAAATTATTTTTGAATGGTTCAAAAAATCAATTTCCGCCTTCGGATTCTTAGTATTGGCCGTTAATTTTTCTGTAAATAAATATGCAGAATTAGTAATTACACCAAAATTGGTTACACTGTAGGCTTAAATATATGCAATATGTTAGCTTATATGTATATAGATCGTCTTAACATTATTACCTATACATCTATATCTATAGCTTAAATATCACTAATTTATCTCACAATTATATGTGATCTTCTATTGCAGACCTAAATTTCCACTTATGTAAAAAACGATGCAACTATGCGAAGCTGGCTGGGTATTCTTTATATACAGAACGCAATACCACACTGATCAAAGACATTTGTAAGACAAACAATAATACTATTTATTATTATAATAAAACTTATCACGATGATATAAATTGCAAGATAACACCGTGCGATAAAAACAAAACAATTTTAAAACACACGAAACAAACAATATACATACAAAACTATGGGCCAAGGAAAGTAAAACTGCGTTTTTAGCATATATGTAATACTTCTATATTGATAGTAAGCTAACATCTCAATGTGTAAGCATTCCGAAATCAAAGCGAGACAGTCTAGTACTGTTTTTGTCAATGTATTGTGTACTTGAGTGCCGGTTTTGTAAATGTGTCGTCTACATGTTTATTTATAAACGCATGTGTTCCTTTTCTTTATTACGTGTTTATTGATATATCTGTACTGTAGTGTTTTCGGACGGTACTAGCTCTTACTGCCAATATAGGAGTATTACATATATGGTTTTTAGTTTTTCACACTGACGTCAAGATTTTTTCAAAGGACTTTGAAATTTTAAAGATATGCTTAGTTCAAAAAATTAATTAAAAAAATCAGTGCAATGCAGAATAACAATTCTGTAGAATTTAAAAGCAATAACGTTTTTTGGTTTACAAGGAGGAATAGGTATTGAAAAAGCGCTTTTAAAAACTTGTATCTCTTTAAGTTAATAAAGTTTGCAGGACGAAATTCGATGATGAGGTTGTACGCATATTAGTCCTCAAACAATAATTAAAAAAAAATCCAAATTTTCCAGGATATTTAAGGACAAAATTTTTAAAGGACGTTTTCCATACCCGTTCGTCCTTATGCTCCAAAAAATGTAATCTGTTATAATTCTACATAGTTTTTTCTTTTATTTGATACCTTTATTGTTATCCTACATTGCACTGAATTAAATAATTAAACATTTTTTGAAATAAACCAATTTTTTTAATTTCAAAGTCCTTTTAATAAAATCCGGACGTTAGAGAAATAAACTAAGTACGCAGTTTTACTATAATTTACCCATAGTTTTGCGAATAAATTCATTTTTTTGTGTGTAAAATTTACTGTCGCACGGAGTAATAGGAACAATATCTGATGAAATAATTAAAAGAATTAATTTAAAATATTAACAGATAATAAGCTCGGGAATACGTAATACATATGTATGTAAAAATTTAAATGGGTGAAACCAAAGCTACATATATTCAAGCGAGAGACCAAGTATGTAACGAATAGGGTGTAGATGAAGTAAATACATAACTAATTATAAAACTGATAACTAATAAAATAAATGTTAGAAATGTGAAAACAAACATATTTACGTATATCGACTTAAACATCAAACCAGTCAATGATTTATTGACTGTTGGTGTTGATGAATGGTTTGAGATGAACGACATTTTCATACTTTGCCATCAAATGTTAAATGATACATAGTAAAGATAATTAAACAATAACTTTTGTTTAAAATACTAAAGATAAATACTAGTTTAGCTGTTAAACAAAATTTTTAATAAAAATATGTACATAAAGATCTAGTTTTTTCCTTTTAACCATTTTAGTTTTGAACAAATAGTAATAATAATATAGTACTTTTATGAAAATGAGGTTAGTTTAAGGTGCTAAGCACAAATTTTATATTGACTTAAGTTAATAAAATCGTGGTTGGTTTGTAGTGCCGTGAACCAAACAGTTTAACTTTATTTGTAATTTTTTGGACACATTTTTTTTAATATGAACTGCATACATATATATGTATTAGGCCGGGTCGATTTGTGGGGAGGCAAAAAAATCGCCCATTGCTCTGTGAAAATCATATTCTAGGGATCAAAATAAGAAACTTTGCCGAAGGAACCATACCTCTAAAACGAATTCTGATGTCCCCCAATTTGGGTCGAACTTTTGGGTAGGGGCAAATTTTGAAAAATCCCACTTTGACCCATTTAGAGTGCTCCAATCGAGTCCAAATGTATGACCGACCCCCACTAACTTTGGAGGCCCGACCCACCGATGCCAGTGGCACACCCCCTGGAACCCCCCTGGGGGTTCACCATACAAACATTTCAAAAAATCGCCGGTTTTGCACTTTACATGAAAAAATCAGCGAAATGCCTATGTTTTTTCTTTTTGGAGTTTATTTTTCTCTTTAGAAATTTATTTAGTCAGAACATATGTAAATGAAAAAATTAATTTAACTTAGTAATAGAAAAGAAATTAAAAAAAATTATTAGAAATTAGCGTTTTTACAACCCTTTTAAAACCAAGGCATCACTGTGATGCATTTGCATGTCGTAAACATAGTTGTGTGGGTTTTTTATTCAACCGTTTTAAAAAATGAAGGTATCACTGTGACACAATTGCAAATCGGAAAATTGCTTGTGTGCGTTTTTTAAGACACAGCTGCATGTCGTAAACTTACTTGTGTAGTTTTTTTATAGCACCTACTTAAGAAATGAAGGTTGTTTTTACAACCCTTTTTGTGGGTATTTTAAGGCACCTTCTTAAGAAATGCGCGTTTTTTGCAACCATTTTAACAATTAAGGTATCACTGGAATGCACCGCAACCCTTTTAAACAATGAAGGTATCACTGTGACACAATTGCAGATCGTAAAATTGCTTGTGTTGTTTTTTTAAGCCACCACAAGACACAGCAGGTAGAATTGAAATTACCATTTCATTCTTATTACCTCGTCTCGTAGACCATATATAACGCAACAGTTTTTGTGAATGCATTAAGTCGTTGTGAAGAACTCAAAGTGTGAAGTGCTAATTTCAGATAAAAAATTATTTCAAAAAAAATAATAAGTGAAGTGACCATTCCAAATCAAAAAGTTTACAATGAATCCACCATCCTCTACACCGCAAGATGAAGCAACTACATCAACAACTATCGAAAACCCAATGAGTCATATACCCAAGCATGATGTTACTGTTTTTGGTGTGTCTACTGATTTAACTGATCTTAATTTACCAACCCATCTGGATATCTTGAGATATTATTTTTACTTAAGCGAACGTGCTAAAACAGAACAAAAAAAGTTTTCCCATAAATCATTCACTATTCAAGTACAAGATAAGTTGATTGGAATTTGGGAAAAACTTGGTATGGAAATAATGCTGAAAAAAGTGTATTTAATAAATTGAATAAATTGCTTGACAAGTATCAAGAGCAAATCAAGAGAAGAAACAACACCCAACAATTTACAGAGTATGTAAAATCTCTGGAAACAATTTTTTACATTGGAACATGTAAATGCGATTTGAAGGCAGCTCCATGTGCATGCGGCTGGGTTCCCGAACGCCTCAAAGAGTTCATGCACGATCAACATAATCAGAGAAGACTAACAATGGATGCATTTGTGATGGAAACTGAAGAGCAAGGAGCAACGTCTATGTCATCAATGCCAACATACCAAGATCCCGATGATTCAACATACGCACCGCCACCGGTTCAAGAAGATATGGATAGAAGCACAAGTTCACAATACACAGAGAGATACGATTGTCTTAACTTTGCCTTGGTATGTGACAGATTAGCATCAGCATTGGGAACCGCTCTTTTGCAAGATTTTAAAATTAAAGATAAGCATGGGAAACCTCTCATCATGGATAAATCGAAAGTTCGCAGAGAAAAAGAGAAATGCAGACAAGAAGTGCTTCGCAAACGGTTAGATGATACCAATTTGTTAGCGTTTTCATTCGATGGCAGAAAAGATGATACTTTAACGATAGATAAAATTGATGAGAAGTATCATACTAGGATGGTAAAAGAACCTCATCTTGTTATTTTGAGAGAACCCAATTCTGAATTGATTGGTTACGTAAGACTGGAACATGAAACCGCTGAATACAAAACAACCAAATTAAATGGTTTTTTCAACGATAAAAATATATCACTGGATGCATTAATTGGAATATGCACTGACGGTGAGCCAACAAACACTGGCCCACACGGTGGAATTATACGACGATTCGAATTGCTGTTAAAAAGACCATTGCATTGGTTCGTTTGCCTTCTACACTTCAACGAACTTCCGTTTCGGCATTTGTTTGAAGCTTTGGATAAATCAACCAGCACTGGACCAAGATCGGCAACCGGAAAACTGAGCCGTCAAATCGAAACTTGTGAAACTCTTCCGGTAAGTTATTGCTATCACTCATTTATTATAATTGTCAACCATTTTTAATTATTTTATTATTATATATTTTCAGGTGGTGGACGGCTTCCAGAAAATTGAGTTGCAAAATATGCCCCCTGCTCCAGAAAAAATTGAATTTTCCACCGATTCGAAGTACTTATACGACATGGCCCATGCAATTTCTAGCGGCGTGGTTCCGGTGGATCTGGCTAACATCAAACCAGGGAAAATTGTACATTCTCGGTGGCTCACCAAGGCCGCTAGATTATTGCGATTATATGTGACAACGGAAAATCCAGATGCAAATTTAAGAATTCTGGTTGAATTTATAATTAAATGTTATGTGCCAATGTACTTCAATATCAAGTATTACAGCTCTGTCGTGTACGGCAGTGCATTATTTTTCAAGTTCATTGGTTGGTCACGATTTCTAGAACCTCGTTTACGCAAAATTGTCAATCAAGTAATTAAAGATAATTCATATTATGCGCATTCGGAAAATATCTTGTTATCAATGTTGTTTGATGATAGCAAAGAAAAGCGCGACTGTGCCATCAAGAAAATTCTACGCTATCGAACCGATGTTGACGAGCCAATGGAACTTAGAGTTTATAAAAAACCAGATATAAACTTTAATTGCACAAGTTATACGGAAATGATCAATTTGAATGATATAAATATCGTATTTGAACCACCATTCACGCGAAGCATTCCGTACGATACATTGAAAGAATATTTAAATCAAGATGATCCACCGTTTAATGATCCAAAAATTCCATCACACATACAAGGAACGGAACGACATGTTCAATTGCTAGCTAGCGTTTCCAAACGGGTTATACCGGAAAATGTAGAGGCTGTTATGGCGACGACATTAGAGAGCCGTGCGAAATTGCCCAGACTTGAAAGTAAAAAATATATTTTTCAAACAATAATTTTTTTTAGTTTCTTTTCTATAACTCACCTAAATTAATTTTTTCATTTACATATGTTCTGACTAAATAAATTTCTTAA